TATCCCAATACTGAAGAAGTGCGTTTCCAGCCTGGTATCCTCAGCTTTCGTTCAGTATACTGCTATTCCATTACATGACAATCCTTTGCGCCACAGTGAGATAGACCAGCTAGAATCAGAAGAGTCTGATTCCGACACTACAATATAATCAATATAATCATGTGAATCGAGTGTACTCTCCTCCTTGTATGCTTACATTATATTGGAGTCTGTCCTCCACAAAAACAGCCAGTTTTCTATGATATATTTGTGATGTGTTTACTTAAACCAGCGATGGAGTGTATTCATTGATGTGTTATATCAGTCTATCCTGTCATTTGGTTTTTATTGATCAAGTATGATCAAAAGTGGGGAATGTAGTGGACATTTCTATTATATCCTGATATGTTTAAACCAAATGCTTCTCATTTGGTTAGATGTGCTGTTTTCCTCTATCTACTCTACTTCAAGGCCACAGAGCTGTTTTGGCTACTGAGCTGACTCACACAAAGTCACACGAGAACTTCTACAGCTCAAGGCCAGGTGTCTAATAACAATGTGACCGTGTGAAGATTTCTTACCTTCCCACCATTTTCCTCCCTTTATAAGCTTTGCTATCATATTGAACTGCGCACACTCGCGCAGACTATCCTATACTCTGTGAGACCTGTGTCTATATATTTATTGGATCTGATGTTTGTTTGAGTCATCGAATAAACATCACCAGAAAGACAACTCTGTCTGATTCACCATTTATTTGATTTGATCACTCTGACTTGTACTCTACAGTATTGGGGTTTTTAGATTTCCATAACAACACACAGACAGACACAGACAGAGAGACAGAGAGACAGACAGAGAGACAGACAGAGAGACAGAGACACAGACAGACAGACACAGACAGAGAGAGAGACAGACAGACAGAGAGACAGAGAGACAGACAGAGACACAGACAGACAGAGAGACAGACAGAGACACAGACAGACAGAGACACAGACAGACAGACACAGACAGAGAGAGAGACAGACAGACAGAGAGAGAGACAGAGAGACAGACAGACAGACAGACAGAGAGACAGACACACACGTGTTAAAGTGTTGGTTTTAACTGATGAACCAGCGTAGAGAGGCCCCGTCCCTTAGCATCACGTACAATGTGTCCCATTGATATGTTTGTTTTGTAAAGTAACTTTGGGTTTCTAGAAATGCACTTTATAAATTGTGTCCATCACATTTAGCTGAGGCTTTTATCCAAAGCGACTTACAGTAAGTGCGTTCGACCAGGAAGACACAACCTTGAAGAAAACAGAATCATAAAGTACATCAGGTTTCATAGAGCCAAACATTTCAAGTGCTACTCAACTGGCTTTAGATAAGCCAGTCCTTTATTAGTATAAAAGTGCTTTGTTAATAGTTCTATCGCTCGAAGTGGAGTCGAAAGAGATGAGTTTTCAGTCTGGAAGGTGTGTAAGCTTTCTGCTGTCCTGATGTCAATGGGGAGCTCATTCCACCATCTTGGAGCCAGGACAGCATTGTTAGTTGATGATTGATAGTGTATTAAGTTTCTTATCAAGCTCCACATTTGTGGAATCAGCTTCCAGTTTGTGTTCGGGCGGCAGACACCCTATCCGTTTTTAAGAGTGCGCTTAAGACCTTCCTTTTTGATAAAGCTTATAGTTAGGGCTGATTAGATCCAGCCCCTAGTTTTGCTGATATAGTCTTAGTTTGTCGGGGGACATCTTACTTCTTCCTTCTCTCTGTCTATACCTGTGTACTCTCATGTTCCCATTAACCCAGCTTCCCCAAATGTCTTTCTTTTTGGTGTCTATATACGCCGGGATCCGGAGTCATGGATGATCCTGCGCTCCTCTGTCCTGGATCGCGAGCCCTGTATCTTGAGTCGTGGCTGTGGTCCTGGATCATAGGTCCTGGATGGATATCCTCGTGGATTCATCTTCCTATTATACACACATGCATTTCCAAACATTTGGACTACCTATGTTGCAAATGTATTATCTCTTCAATTTACACACGGCATCTATTGCACGTCTGTCCGTCCTGGGAGAGGGATCCCTCCTCTGTTGCTCTCCCTGAGGTTTCTCCCATGTTCCCTTTCAACTGTGGGTTTTCTCCAGAAATTTTTCCTTGTACGATGTGAGGGTCTAAGGACAGAGGGTCTAAGGACAGAGGGTCTAAGGACAGAGGGTCTGAGGACAGAGGGTCTAAGGACAGAGGGTCTAAGGACAGAGGGTGTCCTATTGTCATACTGATATTCTGTACAAACTGTAAAGTCCACTGAGACAAATGTAACATTTGTGATATTGGGCTATAAAAATAAACATTGATTGATTGATTGAAGTTCCTGGACTAAACAAAGGAGTCCAATGCACAGAACCCTCTAGGTTTAGAGACACGTGCTAACAGATGCTAATGTTCACAATACACCGGGGACAACACACTTCTTATTAACCATATCCTCACCTCGCTCCAGCCTCTCCACCCGGGCCACCAGCTGCTGCACCAGGACCCTCGGCTCTTCTTCTGTGGTTATCTCCGGGTTCAGGAGGTCGTCTCCATGGTCCTTAGTGGGGGTCTGAGCCCGGACGGCGGCACAGAGCGCCAACAACACCAGCCAGCTGCTCGCCATGAGGGCTCTCTGAAGCACAGGGTCTGAGAACAGGGTCTGACTACAGGGTCTGAGAACAGGGTCTGACTACAGGGTCTGAGTACTGCCTCCCCTCTGGTCTGAGTACTGCCCCCCCTCTGATCTGAGTACTGCCCCCCCTCTGGTCTGAGTACTGTCCCCCCTCTGGTCTGAGTACTGCCCCCCCTCTGGTCTGAGTACTGTCCCCCCTCTGGTCTGAGTACTGTCCCCCCTCTGGTCTGAGTACTGCCCCCCCCTCTGGTCTGAGTACTGTCCCCCCTCTGATCTGAGTACTGCCCCCCCTCTGGTCTGAGTACTGCCCCCCCTCTGATCTGAGTACTGTCCCCCCTCTGGTCTGAGTACTGCCCCCCCTCTGGTCTGAGTACTGCCCCCCCTCTGATCTGAGTACTGCCCCCCCTCTGGTCTGAGTATGAGTACTGCCCCCCCTCTGATCTGAGTACTGCCCCCCCTCTGATCTGAGTACTGCCCCCCCTCTGGTCTGAGTACTGCCCCCCCTCTGATCTGAGTACTGCCCCCCCTCTGGTCTGAGTATGAGTACTGCCCCCCCTCTGATCTGAGTACTGCCCCCCCTCTGATCTGAGTACTGCCCCCCCTCTGGTCTGAGTACTGCCCCCCCTCTGATCTGAGTACTGCCCCCCCTCTGGTCTGAGTATGAGTACTGCCCCCCCTCTGATCTGAGTACTGCCCCCCCCTCTGATCTGAGTACTGCCCCCCCTCTGGTCTGAGTACTGCCCCCCCTCTGATCTGAGTACTGCCCCCCCTCTGGTCTGAGTATGAGTACTGCCCCCCCTCTGATCTGAGTACTGCCCCCCCTCTGGTCTGAGTACTGCCCCCCCTCTGATCTGAGTACTGCCCCCCCTCTGGTCTGAGTATGAGTACTGCCCCCCCTCTGATCTGAGTACTGCCCCCCCTCTGATCTGAGTACTGTCCCCCCTCTGGTCTGAGTACTGCCCCCCCTCTGGTCTGAGTATGAGTACTGCCCCCCCTCTGGTCTGAGTACTGCCCCCCCTCGGGTCTGAGTACACACGTCTACACACTGCTTGGTAAACACCTGTGGACTTTACTGTTTGCACAGTTTATTCAAACACAGGAAATCAATACTTCAGATCTTTGCTCTCATGGTTTCGGGGCGCTTCAGGTTTTTGGTAAACGCCGAGTCATCGTCAGGACTCTGAAGCTGTTCCTCAGCTAAAATGACGGAGAGACATTTCCTCCAACAGAGACTTGGTTTATTGAGAACTTCAAAGTGAACACAGGACATGACGCCTGAAACCCCCCAGCATGCATCACTGTGAGAGCGTGACACTGACACCGTGCACCTGCCTGATCTGCACGTCCAGAGCTGGTCCTCCTATTGGACCGTACAGAACCAAAGAGGTCCTCCTATTGGACCGTACAGAAACCAAAGAGGTCCTCCTATTGGACCGTACAGAAACCAAAGAGGTCCTCCTATTGGACCGTACAGAAACCAAAGAGGTCCTCCTATTGGACCGTACAGAAACCAAAGTGGGACATTTGACACAGAGGCAAAGAAGAAGAGAAACCCGAGCACCTTAATCTGAGAGAAGAGTTGTTGTTTCTTTGAGGAGACTCTCTTTAGTGGGTTCAGTGCATTCTTAGTGAGAACTGGAGTAACGTGTGTGAGCTATCACACTGGAAACATTAGAAACTGGAAATGTATGCAATCATTTATGGCATTAATATTTAATATCTAATTATTGTCTGTTGAGATTCCTGGAAACAGAAATGACAAAAAAGAGTTTTCATTAAAAAGTTGATTGAAAAACAAACTGTTATTAGATCACACACGTGATCACACACGTGATCACACACACGTGATCACACACCTGATCACACACCTGATCACACACACCTGATCACACACCTGATCACACACCTGATCACACACACCTGATCACACACACCTGATCACACACCTGATCACACACACCTGATCACACACATGATCACACACACCTGATCACACACACCTGATCACACACACCTGATCACACACACCTGATCACGTGATCACACACGCGATCACACACGTGATCACACACACGATCACACACGTGATCACACACACGTGATCACGTGATCACACACGCGATCACACACGTGATCACACACACGATCACACACGTGATCACACACACGTGATCACACACACGATCACACACGTGATCACACACGTGTGATCACACACACGATCACACACGTGATCACACACGTGTGATTGATCACACGTGATCACACACGTGATCACACACGTGTGTGTGATCACACACACGTGTGATCACACACACGTGATCACACACACGTGATCACACACGTGTGATTGATCACACGTGATCACACACGTGATCACACACGATCACACGTGTGATCACATACACGTGATCACACACACATGATCACACGTGATCATAAACCAACACACTTTTTAAAGATAGAGTTTATAAGTTTATGACGGACCAAGTGGCGCGGTGCGAATCGTCAGTGTGTTCCCTGACTCACACGGAGACCATCACCCCGTCCCACACACAGCCAGATGTGTGTGCATATAACACCTGACGAAGACACACCTGTCAGACCTGGAGCGTATGCAGGACCCGGAGCAGACCTCAGTCCACCCACAGCAGTGAGACATGTTGAGGACATCATATAGGACATTTCTAATATGCTAACTGTGCTAATGTCCCAGCATCTGCAGGTCAGCATCCAGCAGCCTCTATGTGCTGGAGACCCTACTCTGCACCTCTATCAGAACACGTTGGGGTCTCTACATGTCCAGGTTCTACGACCAGACTCATCTGGTGATCAGGATGCTGACGGAGCATCAGGTGAACCCCCCCCCCCCCCCCCCAACAACTGGTTCATATATATTTATAGTCCAACACTTCAGATGTGACGCGATGAGCTGGTTTCATGGAGGGCTGAGACTCCTGCGGGGAGGGGGCTTCATCTCTTTGGGTTTTTGGACAGAACCTCAGCTCCAGTATTAATACCGGGAGTAAAGGTCCAGTAAGGCGGGTGAGCTGTGGAGAGACCTGCAGCAGTTTCTAAAGTGTCTCTCCTCAGGACCAGGGACCCGAGGAAGTCCTGACCGGAGGATCAGTGTCTTTGCAGCTGCTCAGGTTCTCTCAAAGTGCAGATCCAGTTTCTTTTTGGTGTTCGAGTTCATTTGTTCTCCCACATCTGGCTTCTAGAGTATCGCAGCTATAGTCTCTTGGTGTGCTTGGAGTTGTAGTGGCTGCGCATGTCCTTCCGGAGGCGGAACTTCTCCCCGCAGACGCCGCAGATGTACAGGTGGACGTCCATGTGCTTCTCCAGCTGCTCTCCGCCGGGGAAGATCTGGAAGCACACCTGGCAGATGGTCTCCCCGGCGGACAGGTGGGAGATCATGTGTCGGACGTGGTCGTGTTTGAGGAAGGTGCCCTGGTCGCAGACGGGGCACACGTAGCGCGCCATGCCTTTGTGCATGTCGGTGTGCAGGCGCAGCTGGCGCTCCCGCAGGAACTGCTTCCCGCAGGTCTGGCAGGTGAACTGCTTCTCTTTGGTGTGGACGGTGTAATGCTCCCGCAGGTGGCAGCGCTGGTAGAAGCCCTTGCCGCAGATGCTGCAGAAGTGTTTGCGGCGGTGATCCGGTTCGCCCTCCTCCAGCAGCACGGGGCGGAACGGTTCCTGCTCGTGGCAGGACAGGGCGTGGTCCAGCGCCAGGCCCTCGCTCTGGAACAGCTTCCCACAGTGAGGGCAGGCCAGGTCGGCCGCCTCCACCTCCATCCCCTGCGGCTCCTCCGGCAGCGAAGCCTCGTCCTCCGACTCGCCGCCCTGGGACTCGCCGCAGCGCTCGGCGTGCTCCTGCAGCTGCCGGCCTTTGATCAGCACCTGGCCACACCTCCCGCAGGCGCAGATATGACTCATGTGGTTGGACAGGTAGTGGGCGGACTTGTCTTCGTCCGTTAACAGAGTGCCGCAGAGCTCACAGGGCGCCCCGTCCCCGTCCTGCTTCTCGTCTTTCAGCTTGCGGAGCTTTGGAGAGACTCCCGACTCTTCGCTGCCCGACATGTGGCCTTCATAAGGCTCGCCTGAGACGCCGGGCTCTGGGTCGCAGTCTGCTTTCTGACCCCGCAGGTTGTTTCGTGCCGCGTCATTGAGCCGTGATCTACGGCTTCTGGTGGCGTGCTCACCGACCCGGACCATCTGTATCTCAGGAAACGCGCCATCCTCTGGTTCTGTCTTGATAGAGAGCGTCCTGGTGGAGCTGGGCTCTCCGTCGGTGCCGGCTGCCACAGACCTGAGGGCGGATTCGGACCAGTCGTCCTCGCCTTTACAGATGAGCCTGTGTTCCTCCGTGCTCTCGGAGGCGGAGCTCTCTGCCTCCCCCTCCACGTTGCCTCTCGGCTGACTGAAGGCCTTCCGGTTGGTGCAGGTCAGGATGTGCTCGATCAGAAGTTTCTCGCAGCTGAAGACAAAGCCACAGTCGTCGCAGGTGTAAGTGCGGCCGAACCGAGGGCGGTCTTTGAGAGCCGAACTCCTGCCGCCGGGCCTCTTCCTCAAGTCACATGGCTGATCGGCTGCTCCGTCCCCCAGCGGCGGCGCCATCTTCAGAGGAGCGTTAGCCATCTTCAGAGGAGCGTTAGCCATCTTCAGAGGAGCGTTAGCCATCTTCAGAGGAGCGTTAGCCACCTTCAGAGGAGCGTTAGCCACCTTCAGAGGAGCGTTAGCCACCTCCTCCGCCGGCCTGCTGGCAGCTTTGGGTAAGGTCTCCACTTCCTGTGCAGCTGGTGGCTGCTCGTACATGCGCACTCCGAACATCATTTTCCCGGCGGTGGCGCCAGAAGAGGAACTGGACGAGGAGGCGGAGGAAGACGGGGTTGGGTTGGAGCTCCTGATGTCTCGGAGGTCCTCAAGCGAGTCAGGGATGTAGTACATCTGCAGGTACGCCATGGAGGCCTTCAGCTCCTCGAACTCGAAGCTGCCCACCACGATGCGGCCGAGGTACATGAGCTGCAGGATGAGGTCAAAGCACTCGGCGCTGATCTGCATGTTGCTGAGGTCCAGGCGCCCCGCCCCCTGCTGGTCCCGGATGAACATCATCCTGAAGTAGGAGCTGCAGGCAGCCAGGACGGCCTTGTGCGCCCTGAAGTAGATGTCCCCGATGGCGATGAGGCAGTCGCACAGGAAGCCCCACTCACGCTGGTTGTTGAGCTGCTGGAGGACGTGATCGCTGTGGCTCGGCCTCGCCATCGCCTGCAAGCACCAAGACATCATCATCATCATCACATCATCATTATCATCACCATCATCATCATCACCATAACAAATAAACTAGCTGCACCTTCACCAGCTTTGAGAACACTTTCATGATCAATCATTATAAAACATATATATATATTATTCTGAAATGGACCAATCTGCACAACGACTACTTTCACTGTCTTTCACTATATTTAGATGAGAATACTTTTCTACTTTCACTTGAGGAACATTTTGAATGCAGGACTTTTACTGTGACAGAGTATTCCTACACTCTGGTACTTCTACTTTAACTCAAGTACAAGATCTGAGTACTTCTACTTTTACTCAAGTACTAGACCTGAGTACTTCTACTTTTACTCAAGTACAAGATCTGAGTACTTCTACTTTTACTCAAGTACAAGATCTGAGTACTTCTACTTTTACTCAAGTACAAGACCTGAGTACTTCTACTTTTACTCAAGCACAAGATCTGAGTACTTCTACTTTTACTCAAGTACAAGATGTGAGTACTTCTACTTTTACTGAAGAACTAGATCCGAGTACTTCTAATTTGACTGAAGAACTAGACCTGAGTATTTCTCCCGCTCTGTATATTAGGTGTTGTTACTGTAGATCACTCCGCAGCTAAAATGGAGATCCGGTGGTTATCCGCGTCAAGCTAACAGTAACCAGACCGGAAGTTAATGCGGCCAGTCCTCCAAAATAAAAGCCTCAACCAGTCCAACCGAGTGACCTGAGCAGGACTCACGTCTCATGGCTTCATTATGATCTTATTACTAACGTCCGAACATGTTTGAAATAGTAGAATACAAACATTTCAAAACAACGCAACAACAACGCAACTTCTAGCTTGTCTTTTATTTTGAAAATCCAGATGTAGTAACAGCTCGATGCGTGATGACCCCCGCACACAGTCTCCCTCCCTCCCTCCCCCCCCCCCCCCCCCCCCCCTCTCCGCACCGCCCCGCAAACAACAGGCCGAGAGAGCCTGTGTTTCCTGGAGCTCACACACCGACTCACCGTGAGATCTGAGGCCGAGGAGGGGCGTCTCTGTCCGGCTGCGCAGATCGGAAACTCCCGCTGTAACTCCTCTCTCTCGCTCTCGCTCTCTCTCTCTCTCTTCCTCCTCTCTCTCTCTCTTGCAGGAAGAGTCTCTTCTTCTTCCTCCTCCTCTTCTTCTTCTTCTTCTTCTTCTTCTTCTTCTTCTTCTTCTTCTTCTTCTTCTTCTTCTTCTTCTTCTTCTTCTTCTTCTTCTTCTTCTTCTTCTTCTTCTTCTTCTTCTTCTTCTTCTTCTTCTTCTTCTTCTCCTGCTGCTGAAGATCAAAGCACTTCCTCCGAACACCACGCAATTAAACACTTCCGGTCCAAATGCCGGGCCTTCAAAATAAAGGTCATCATCCGGGGAAGTGAGCGAGCAGAGCGGGAACAAACACGGAGAAATACGATGATATTAGTGATCAGAGATGTTGACAGAGTCGCATGTATAGCAATAAACTGGTCATATTAATACTTACACTTAACAAAAGAGTTCACGTGTTGGTGTTTCTTTAAGTTAAAACTCCGTCTTGTAACGTTTTTATTTATTATTTTAAAAAAAATGTATTTTATTTATTCTTCTTGCACTTCCACTGCGCAGCACGCAATGAAACACTTCAAAATAAGAGTTCTGATTCATCTTCAAAATCCCTGTGAGTACTCTGTGTACTGTGCGTGTACCGTGTGTACCCTGTATACTGTGTGTGTACCCTGTGTACTGTGTGTGTACCATGTGTACCCTGTGTACTGTGTGTAGCTTACCCTGTATACTGTGTGTACTGTGTGTACCCTGTATACTGTGTGTAGTGGTTGTACCCTGTATACTGTGTGTACCCGGTTCCTTCCTCCCGAGGACTTCGTGCCCGCCGTCGCTGTGACCTCGCCTGCGGCCGGGCAGCGCTCCTTCCTGCTGGGGACCACCGGGTTATGTTCGCCCGTCACGGCTCAGCGACCCGGCTTTCACCGACCGGCAGGTCGAAAACAAAAGGATACCCAACATCTAAATATTGGATTGTTCTTTCTTAGTAAGATCCCATGTTCATTTTACAATTGTGGTCTTACCTTGACTTGAAGATGAAGTCCATGCTCTCCTTCTGGACAACAATCTCCATTACTTTTTTGTAAAAGTCCTCCTTATCTTCCTCTAGTTTCAAAACAAAAGTCTAGTTTGTTGTTTGCGTCTACCATCTCTGCGTAGAATAACAGTAGCAACAAGAACCTGTGGGCTCACGTGCGCCCCCTTCAGTGCGGCAGAGGTTATGGCTGCCTCTCCTGGTGCTTTTTTCATTGCCGTTGTATGATGAGACCAGCGAGCCTAAATTTCATATATACGTGAAATAAGTTATTTAGAGACTATGGATGGCGAGGATAAATGTAATAAAGGGATCTACAAACATTACATTGGTGACATACAGTGAGATGGTGCAGGCATGCGCTTAGGGTCCGCTTTCCAGCCAGTTTCTGTGGGGTGACGCATTCTGAGGTGAGGCAGAGCTCACCTGTGCCTCACCTCACCCCACAGTAACTGGCTGGAGCGCGCTCACAAAATAAGTGCCCGCGCTACATTAGTGCCCGCGCTCCAGCCAGTTACTGTGGGCTTACGTGAGGCAGAGCTTGTCCCTGCCTCACTTCTCTTCGCTCCCATGTAGTTGTAGCGGAGCTCGGCCAATTTGCTGATTTTGACTATAAGAAGCGATTGGAATCAAACAGAAATCACAACACAGATCAGTGGAGACATGTTATTATTATTACTATTTAGTTTTTCTTTAGTTGTTTTTCCATTACATTGGAGTATGACAGGTGAGGCTCTGCCTCCCCTGACTGCACGTCGCTGATATACTGTGTCCTCCTCCTTTTCTCTCTCTCTTGGCTACTCGGACTGCAAGCCAGCAACATGTCCTTTTCTGCTCCGCAATAAAGTTCACTTTTGCTCCTCCATTGCACCGCCTCCGACTCCCTATCTCTCTGCACTACAGTACCCTGTATACTGTGTGTACTGTTTGTACTCTGTATACTGTGTGTTTGTACCCTGTATACTGTGTGTACTGTTTGTACTCTGTATACTGTGTGTACTGTTTGTACTCTGTATACTGTGTGTTTGTACCCTGTATACTGTGTGTACTGTTTGTACTCTGTATACTGTGTGTTTGTACCCTGTATACTGTGTGTACTGTTTGTACCCTGTATACTGTGTGTACTGTTTGTACTCTGTATACTGTGTGTTTGTACCCTGTATACTGTGTGTACTGTTTGTACTCTGTATACTGTGTGTTTGTACCCTGTATACTGTGTGTACTGTTTGTACTCTGTATACTGTGTGTACTGTGTGTACTCTGTATACTGTGTGTACTGTTTGTACCCTGTATACTGTGTATACTGTTTGTACTCTGTATACTGTGTGTTTGTACCCTGTATACTGTTTGTACTCTGTATACTGTGTGTTTGTACCCTGTATACTGTGTGTTTGTACTCTGTATACTGTGTGTTTGTACCCTGTATACTGTGTGTTTGTACCCTGTATACTGTGTGTTTGTACTCTGTATACTGTGTGTTTGTACCCTGTATACTGTTTGTACTCTGTATACTGTGTGTTTGTACCCTGTATACTGTGTGTTTGTACTCTGTATACTGTGTGTTTGTACCCTGTATACTGTGTGTTTGTACTCTGTATACTGTGTGTTTGTACCCTGTATACTGTTTGTACTCTGTATACTGTGTGTTTGTACCCTGTATACTGTGTGTTTGTACTCTGTATACTGTGTGTTTGTACCCTGTATACTGTGTGTTTGTACCCTGTATACTGTGTGTTTGTACTCTGTATACTGTGTGTTTGTACCCTGTATACTGTGTGTTTGTACTCTGTATACTGTGTGTTTGTACCCTGTATACTGTGTGTTTGTACTCTGTATACTGTGTGTGTGTACCCTGTATACTGTGTG